AGGCGGATGCCTAACCTGACGATGTGTAGAGGATGTCTCGAGCGAAGCGGCTGTCTTCACGTGCCCAGGTCGCCCATGCAGATGTCTAGCATGGGGATGTGTTGAGGATGTCTCGAGCGAGACGCTTGTTTTCACGTGTCCAGGTGTCCGTGGGGCGTCCCCTGGCGCGCTGGCCAGTCCCCTGTGAGGCCGTCCCGTGCGCGTGATTGCACGGTGTATGCCGTGCAGAGCGTGGCCCGCTGTTGGCCTATTTGCCTCGGTGCTCGCGCGAAGTGGCGATGGACAATCGTTTCTACGGCGCGTCCTTTGCGACGCTCTGGCGTGGTTTGCCCTGGCACGTCCTCCAGTACGCCCCTCGACGTGGCCCCTTCCCTGGCCCGTCCTCTGTCGCGTTTCCTGTCTTGTTTCAAGGTCCTGTCCATTCCGTGGCGCGCCCCTTACCGCGTCCCCTGGCATGGCATTCTCTGTCCCGCCCCATGGCACGCGCCTTGGCACGTCTCGTGGCAGGTTCCTGACACGTCCAGCGCACGTCCCCGAATACGTCCCCTGACACGCCCCCTGGCGCATCCCCTAATGCGCCCCTGGTACATTCCGTGGCGCGTCCGTGAGCCTGTGCCCCGTTTCGTGTCGTCCCTTTGGGGAGCTGGGTTGGATTTTGAGCTCGAGTTCAGGGCAACAGCGCGGTCAGGCAGCTCGAGCTGAAGATTTAAATCAGTTCGGGCGGGGCTTGGACGCCGTTAGCGATTGCTTCGCCACGCAGTAGGGTAAATCACATGTCGGCGCAGTGTGGCGGCACAGTGCAACGCGGCACGGCACGGCGCAGCGCAGTGCAACACAGTGTAGCGGAACTTGCTTCACGGCATCATGATCACCAAGGTCTTCAATATTTCATTTTTTCCCCAGAAATGGCATAAGCCCAGGGTTCTCCTTTACTAGGTTTAACCCCGGGTTTGACTTGAGGTGTGCCGGCGAATTTATTTTTGCGATAAATATCGAAGTTGAGGTGAACCGGCGAATTAAACATTGAGGATGTCTCGAGCGAAGCGCATGTTTTTCAGAATTTGTTGAGGATGTCTAGAGCGAAATGCTTGGTTTCACGCCTCCAGGTTGCCCAGGCAGAGGTCTAGCGCCAGGATTTGTTGAGGATGTCTCGAGCGAAACGCTTGGTTTCACGCGTCCTCGTCGCCCAGGCGGATGTCTAGCATGAGGATGTGTTGAGGAAGTCTCGATCAAGATGTTTGTTTGCACGTGTCCAGGTTGCCCAGGCGGATGCCTAGCATGAGGATGTGTTGAGAATGTCTCGAGAGATATGCTTGTTTTCACGTGTCTAGGTCGCCCAGGCGGATGTCCGACATGAAGATGTGTTGAGGAGGTCTCGAGCGAGACCTTTGCTTTCACGTGTCCAGGTCGCCCAGGTGGATGCCTAGCATGAGGATGTGTTGAGACTGTCTCGAGAGATACGCTTGTTTTCACGTGTCTAGGTCGCCCAGGCGGATGTCCGACATGAAGATGTGTTGAGGAGGTCTCGAGCGAGACCTTTGCTTTCACGTGTCCAGGTCGCCCAGGTGGATGCCTAGAATGAGGAGGTGTTGAGACGTCTCGAGCGAAACCTTGTTTTCACGTGCCCAGGTCACCCAGGCGGACGTCTCACATGAAGATGTGTTGAGGATGTCTCGAGCGAACCACTTGTTTTCACGTGTCCAGTTCGCCCAGGCGGATGTCTAGCATGAGCATGTGTTGAGGATGTGTGGAGCGAAACGCTTGTTTTCACGTGTCCAGGTTGCCCAGGCGGATGTCTAGCATGAGGAGTTTGACAGGATGTCTCGAGCGAAACGCTTGTCCCCAGCACGTTCCGTAGCGCGTCCCCTTGGCACGTCCCGCGGTGCGTCCCCATGGCACGTCCCCTGGCACGTCGCTTGGCGCATCCCTTGGGACGTTCCGCGGCACGTCCTCCTGGCATGTCCCCCTGTCAATTAGCTCTGCGGCAGATACTATGTGTTCAGGCAGCTCGAGCTTAAGATCCAGATCAGTTCGGCCAGGACTCGGATGCAAAGGAGGACTCGATCCACGACGCTATAGAGCACAACCGCGGCATGGCACATCGCAATTCAGAACGGTGCAGCACAGCACAGACTTCGGCACGGTACATCAAGATCGATACACACAGCATTGCAACCTGGCACGTTCCTTGGCACGTTCCGTGGGGCGTCCCTTGGCGAGTCCCCCTGGCACGTCGCGTGGCGCGTCCCCTGGCACATCCCGCGGCACGTCCATTGGCACGTTCCGTAGCGCGTCCCCTTGGCTCGTCCCGCGGTGCGTCCCCATGGCACGTCCCCTGGCACGTCGCCTGGCGCATCCCTTGGGACGTTTCGCGGCGCGTCCTCCTGGCATGTCCCCCTGTCAATTAGCTCTGGGGCAGCTACTATGTGTTCAGGCAGCTCGAGCCTAAGATCCAGATCAGTTCGGTCAGGACTCGGATGCCAGGGAGGACTCGATCCACAGTGCTATATAGAGCAAATTCGACGCATGACACATCGCAGTTCAGCACGGCCCAGCACAGCACAGCCCTCGGCACGGTACATCAACATCGATACATTGAGCACTGCATTTGCCCGTCGCCCAATCAGGTGTTTTTGAAAACGCTGCCAGTCGTTGCATTTCTATATTCCTTTCTGGGTTTGTGGGTCGATCATGTTGCCCGCGGAAGGATGTGAATAGCAACGGGCGCAGTGAGAGGGGCGAGCGGCGCAGCCGAATCCCTGGCGAACATCTTTTCCTCTGACCATTGGAATTGCCCGTCGCCCACTTATGGTGTCTTGGAAACGTGTTCATACTTGTCATTCCTACATCCCTCTCCGGGTTCGTGGGCCGATCCTGTTGCAGAGCCCCCCGGGGGCTTTTGGAGGCCGTCCGTGGGGTTCTTGGGATTCTGTTGGGGGTCTTGGGGGCCGTCCTGGGGGGCAGGGTTCCCGTGTCACACCTCGCCGGAATGATGTTCGACCGGCACGTGCGCAATTCTTACCGAAACCAATCGCATGTAGTTTTGTTCTCGGCCTCCGGGTGCGCGTCCGATGGCTCAACCAATGACAGGGTCTTCTTCCCGGAAAGGGCATAAGCCCAGGGATCATTTTTAGTTTGTTTACCTCCGGGTTTGACTTGAGGTGGGCCGGCGAATTTCTTTTGCAATAAATATCGAGGTCGAGGTGGGCCGGCGAATTCAACATTGAGGATGTCTCGAACGAAACGCTAATGTTTCAGAATTTGTTGAGGATGTCTAGAGCGAAACGCTTGTTTTGTGTTATAGATTGTCCTCTCCTGGGGACCTGAATTCGGAGTATCTCTCAAGTGAAATGCTTGTTTTCACGTGCCCAGGTCTTGAGGATGTCTCGAGCGAGACGCTTGGTTTCACGCCTCCAGGTTGCCCAGACAGATGTCTAGCATGAGGAGTTGTTGAGGATGTCTCGAACCAGAGGCTTGTTTTCACGTGTCCAGGTCGCCCAGGCGGATGTCTAGCATGAGGATGTGTCGAGGAAGTTTCGATCGAGACGCTTGTTTGCACGTGTCCAGGTTGCCCAGGCGGATGTCTAGCATGAGGATGTGCTGAGAACGTCTCGAGTGAAACGCTTGTTTTCACGTGTCCAGGTCGCCCATGCACAGCACAGCCCTCGGCACGGTACATCAAGATCGATACACTCAGCATTGCAGCCTGGCATGTTGCCTGGCACGTTCCGCGGAGCGTCCCGTGGCGAGTCCCCCTGGCACGTCGCGCGGTGCACGTCCATTGGCACGTTCCGTAGCGCGTCCCCTTGGCACGTCCCGCGATGCGTCCCCATGGCACGTCCCCTGGCACGTCGCCTGGCGCGTCCCTTGGGACGTTCCGCGGCGCGTCCTCCTTGCGTGTCCCCTCTGTCGATGAGTTCTGGGGCAGCTACCATCTGCTCAAGCAGATCGAGCTTAATTCCAGATCAGTTCGGTCAGGACTCGGATGCAATGAGGACTCGATCCACAACGCTATATACAGCAAATTCGCGGCATGGCACATCGCAGTTCAGCATGGCCCAGCACAGCACAGCCCTCGGCACGGTACATCAAGATCGATGTATATATATATATATACACTCAACATTGAACCTTGGCACGTTCCTTGGCGCGTTCCGTGGCGAGTCCACCTGGCACGTCGCGCGGCGCGTCCCCTGGCACGTCCCGCGGCACGTCCATTGGCGCGTTCCGCAGCGCGTCCCATTGGCACGTCCCGCGGTGCGTCCCCATGGCACGTCCCTTGGCACGTCGCCTGGCGCGTCCCTTGGGACGTTCCGCGGCGCGTCCTCCTGGCGTGTCCCCTCTGTCGATGAGTTCTGGGGCAGCTACCATCTGCCCAGGCAGCTCGAGCTTAAGATCCAGATCAGTTAAGATCGATACATTTAGCATTGCATTTGCCCGTCGCCCAATCAGGTGTCTTTGAAACGTTGCCATGCCTTACATTTCTATATTCCTTTCCCGCTTCGTGGGTCGATCATGTTTCGCCGCCTGGTACGAAACCTATGTCGCAAGCAACAATAGTCCTTTTATTTTCGGTCGTCGTGTTCACAGCCAAGCTCGGATCGCGCAATCCTTGTCATGGCCCATATATTTCTGACGCACCACCCGGGCAGTTTCTGCGGGGCCGCGCCCAATTTATTGTCGCCGTCTGGACTGGCGGTGGGGCCCTAGCGGCGAGCCGCCATGTGTTTCCCTCCCTCTCTTCCATACGGTTGGGGCGTCTCTTCAAGGAATGAGCCCATGAGGCTTCAGACCCTGGAGGATTCCTTCTCCAGTTGAGGGCGGCGGTGATATCCATGGTCAAACCTCAGTTGGTGCCCAACCAGGTTTTCAGACCCTGGATTCCTGATCCAATGGCTCCTTATCCAAAGCCATCACCGTACCTTCTCTTCCTCCTCCTCCTTCTCCTCCTCCTCCTCCTCCTCCTCCTCCTCGGTGTCCGTAATTACACAATAACCTGGAGGCTCGAGTCCTCGGGCTCCCCGAGCCGCCCAGAACTGCTCCGACGCCGCGCGCATCGGCTCCGCTCGGCGGCCGGGGCTCGGCTACCATGGCGAACCAGCCCGCTCGCGCCCCGCCATGGCCAAACTGCAGCCGCAGCAGCTCACAGCCTTGGGCGACAAGCGCCACTTACTATGGCGTGTGCGACAGCAGGCCCGACCAGCTTGACGGCGAACGAGGAACCGCTTGCGCCGGTCTCGCCTGCGGGCGGGGCCGCCCGCCAGCGGGCCTCAAGCTCGAGATCCTCTCCAACGACAGTGAGCTCATGGACGCCAGCACTCCCCGCACCCACGGGCCAGACACCTGGGCGTTCAGCAGCGCCCGCGGCGACAGCAGGGCCTCCGCGGCCGACGCGCGCTCCCCGACCCGGGAGTGGAGCGCCCCCGACGCGGCCTGGGCCCGCATCCGCACGCCGTCCCCGGAGCCGCTGGCGTGGCAGCAGAGCGCGCCCGCGAAGCCCCCGCAGTGGCTGCCGTGGCAGCCCCCGGCAGTGCCGCAGCCGCCGGAGCCCGCGGCGCCGCGCGAGCGGGGGCCCGCCCCGCCCGCCGGGGAGGCCAAAGCTGCCGCGGCGAAGCAGGAGCCGGGCGGCGGACGTCGACACAGAGCCGCCTCCCAGGGGAGGAGGAGGAGGGAGGAGGAGGAGGAGGAGGGGGAGGAGGAGGAGGAGAGGAGGAGGAGGAGGAGGGAGGAGGAGGAGGAGGAGGAGGAGGAGGGGGAAGGAGGAGGAGGAGGAGGAGGAGGAGGAGGAGGAGGAGGAGGAGGAGGAGGAGGAGGAGGAGGAGGAGGGGGAGGGAGGAGGAGGAGGAGAGAGAGTAGGATTTTGGCTCAAGATATCGTTTGGGGACTCGGAACCTCCCGCTCGAGACCGCCCCCAGGAGGCACCGAAGTGGTCCCCAAGAGGCCTGCCCGAGGCAGGGACCACGGCTCTTTCGGCCATTCATCCCAAGAGTTTTTCGGATTTATCGAACCCCGCAGTTCAGCCATGTCGATCGGGGATGCCACGCAGCAGCGCATCGCGGAAGAATTGGAGGAGTTTCCCACATTCGACAGTCAAGAAGGGAGGCGTATGCGTGCTCGTGCTGGTAATGAAAATGATGATCTTCGGGCTTCTCTTGATGAGCACAAATCTCACATGGAGCAGTCCCTCCGTGCCATGCAGAACATGCTCCAATCGTTCGCAGGCACCGTCAGTGGGATGTCCAACACGCTGTCGACCAGCCTCGATGCCATTCACAAGAAGGTGGAGGGACGGATGTGCCAGGTGGAAGCAAGGTTGGAGAACCAGGCTAAAGACATCGCGATCCTCAAGCAGGAACTTCACAACATTCGCAACACGCTTGGAGGTATCAGAGAAGAACGCCCGCTGCCCAAGCCAGTGGACACGGCTTTTGACAGATCTATCGACACGGCCATTCTCACTATTAGATCAAAGGGCATGCTACCAAAGCAGAACGTACTCGACGCACTCGGAGACATACTGGCCAGGAACAGCATCGGGCCGAAGGGCTACACTATGGAAGGAGAACCTGCGGCGCGCCGGTTTGCACTCAGGATCGGCGGAAGCAAAGGATTTGCCGAGCGGAAGGTACTTCAGATACTGGGAAGTCTACGACAATTTAATGGCAGCTGGGAACGTTTCAATGCAAAAGATGTGGACGGTAACCCGTATGAGTTATTCTTGGCTGGAGATAAGAACCCGCAGATGGTCAGACGAGAACTTTATCTCAAGAAAATGCGAAACATCATGGCAGAGAAGTACCCCAATATCAAGGTCTACGGCGACAAATCGAAAGGGGAGCTCAGCCATATGTGGAAACCACTCGTTCGTGTCGACCCTCGCCCAGGAGACGAAGCGCCTGTCATCTCTTTCGCCCGTGCCAACTGCGAAGCAGCTGGAGTGGATATTGACTTTTTGCGCCCGTGTTTCAACCAGGCCTTCGCCAGCCCAACAGAGAACATCGAGTGGAGTATTTAGCAGGCTCTTCACCAGATGGAGAGATAAGAACCAGGTTTGGAAGCTAACTCTTGCCACGTGGAACTCTCGAGCTCTTTTCCATCATCTCCCCTCCACGCGAGATCGGAAGTTGCGTACTTTGCGATCTATCCTTCGTTCTGGAACCATCCTCGCCCTCCAAGAGAGCCACGGGACTGAGCTAGAGGTCCAAGAGCTAGTCTACCACTTGAATAAGGAGGCGAGTGCATCACCGAGTTTTTGTCCATCGTCTCAGGCAGGGGGAGTGGTCACGTTCTACCCGAACTTCGCTTTCCTGGGGTCCGAGGCGCCGAAGACGGAAGCCAGAGTTTTGATTCCAGGGAGAGTTCTTAACCTTCGGATTGAGTTCGCCATGGATATCTGGATTTCCCACTACAACGTTCACAATTTTAAACTCACGAGAGAACAAAAACGACATGTAGCAGCGAAGATCAGGGAGGACCTTGATCAAGCGAGTGCTCACCCAGAATCTTGCCTGGTCGCGGTGGCGGGTGATTTCAACTTTGCCGACCAGCCGCCGATCGAGGATGACCCGAGGAGCGGGAGATGGCAGCGCAGGGGCAACACAGAGAACATGAAAAACAACACAGATAGCCAGAACAGGAACAGGCACAGCCAGGACAGCAACACAGAGAGCCAGAACAGGATCACAGATAGCCAGCACGGAAACGCAGATAGCCAGAACAGGGACATAGAGGGCCAGAATAGGGACACACATAGCCAGAACTACAACACAGAGAGCCAGAACAGAAACACAGATAGCCAGAACATCAATTACGTTAGAGAATACAGGAGGGGACAGGACGGGGAATGGATGGAAGCTCTCAAACACATGACAGAACTACAAGTAGCAGAACCAACACATTTTCATGCCCCTCAGCGCGTGCTCACCTCGATAGATCGGCTGTTTGTTAGTTTCAAGGGCTGGGTGCTCAACCAGCTCACGATCTCGGGCAATGTCACCGAGATGCCAGAGGTGCTCCACAAGCAGGGCATCAGCGATCACGCACCGGTAGTCGTGACGGCCTCGAGCAGCATCCCGAAGAGAAATTCAGAGGACATTCAGGAAAGTTTTCAAAGCATTCCCAGAGATGTGTATCGACATCCCAAATACGCCGAATATCTTCGTAAGGTCTCGGAGCTTCCTGGAGTTGATGAGCTTTCTCCCCCTCTGGCCCTGGACTTCGTGACGAAAATGATGAGGGAAGCTGCAAGAGTCGCCAGAAATACGATGCTAAGGAGCTCGCCTGATAGTCTCTTTTCTCGGTATATCACAGTAAAATCCATTGCCAGGGCTATCTGGAGGCAAGACATCAAATTGGCAGAGAAGATCAGGTCGAGCAGTAGATTAGGCAGAGACCATCTCGAGATCGACGCGATCGAGAAGGTGGTCAGGCTTCACGACCCGACCGAGTTTGCCTCGATTTCGGACCAGATCCAGAGAACGATGAGCCAACAGGAAGAAGCCCGACTCCGACGAGAAATTAACGAGAATCCGAACGAATCGACAAAAGCCAAACTGCGAAGACAGATGATAGGACAAATCCGAAGAGGCAAGCTCTGGTCACCTTTTGACAAGAGGATGTCTTTGAAAGGCATCCGCACAGACAGCGGAGCTGTCGTCAGGGAACCAGCCGAGGTCCTGCAGCTGCTCAGCCAGCACTGGGGCGCGGTCTTCGGCGCGACGAAAAATCTCAATCAGCAGGACATCGACAGATATCTCGATCGGCATGCTCCCAAAGTTTGTCTCCAAGATCTGCCTCCACCGACAATGCACAGTCTTGAGAAGCACCTCAAGAGGCTCCAGGACAGCGCCCCAGGACCAGACGGGCTGGTGTACTCCGCGTGGCGCTTCAACCCCATGGGGCTCAAGGTTCTCGATAAGGCCCTCTGGTGGATCCTCAGCGGGAATGCGCTTTTCAGTGACTTCAACTTTATTAGAGGAGCTTTCCTGGTAAAGGGAAGCCATGATCAGGACTCAGAGGAAGTTCTCAGAGGCGCTTCGGAGACTAGGCCCCTGGGGCTCAAGCAGACTAGCAACAAGATCCTCACAGGCCTAGTGGTGTCCCACTTAAGTAAGAAGTTGCGCGAGTTCATAGATTGCGAGCAGAGAGGTTTCGTTCAGGGGAGGAACTTCGGGGTGAACATTTTGGACTTGGACGCAAGAGCAAGGATAGCAAGTATGCAACTCACAGCCTCTTTGGATCTGCCAGCATTATGCACATTTGACTACGGCCAGGCCTTCCCATCAGTAGCGCACGTATGGATCTTCGCAGTTCTAGCCAGATTATCCATACCAGAGCCGATGATGATTTTCATGAAGTACATTTACACCTGTGTTGAATGCTACGGAGTACATGGGAGGGTGAGCCAATTTCTCTTTTCAGTGTGTTCTGGTATTCTACAAGGGTGTCCTGGAAGCGGGGTGTTATACGCGATATGCAGCCACCCATTCATGAGCGAATTTCGAGAAGTATTACGATCGCCACGAGTATCCCGACCCATCTCGGCGGCGAAAGCCTGCGCAGATGATGTGGGAGCTGTGGTCACCGCTATTCGTCAATTACTAGATCTGAAGCGTGTCTTTGACAACAGCTACAGGCTGGCGGCGCTGAAGCTGAAGACCAGCAAGTGCTTCATCGTGCCGCTGAGTGGAGCCTTTTCTGAGATTGAGGCCGCCAGGTATAGAATTTGGATTGAAAACAATATCCCTGCGTGGAAAGATTTTAAAATCGTGGCCTTTGTCACTTACCTCGGAATGGTCCTGGGGCCAGGCGCCTCGACTGAGGCTTGGGAAGCTCCGCTGAAGAAGTGGGCCACCCGTGCGGCCCAAATTTCCCGTGAAACCACGCCAACGGCTGTTGCCGAGTATTTGTACAATAAACGAGCCATGCCCACGGTGTCATATGTAGCTCAGTATGCTGAGCTGCCTAGTAGTATCCCATCCATTCCCTCTCTCTGTCGTCTCGAGCATGCCTCCCTCGCCTCTCTCTTCTCGCTCCCTAACTGCGCCCTATCAAGAGCTTCCCTGTGTTCGCTTTGGAAATGGGGAGGGCCCAAGATCGAGAGCATTGAAACGTTGTGTGCCAGCATTTTAATGAGATCTGCGATCAGTACGTTGCCAGAATGGCGTACGATATATAGTATGCTGGAGAGCGAAGCTGAGAGGTGCCTCACTCTCCAAGACCTTGGTCATGGAAAGAAATACCCGAATTTTTGGAAAGCTCCCGCGTTTGTAGAGAACCTCAGGAACGCCGCGAAAGGCTTTCCGTTTTCCTCCCCTGCCCATAAGAAAGCTGGTGCGAAAGCTTTGGCAGCAGCTGAGAATGTTCTGGCAGAGCGTAGGCTCATTGCTAACCCGTCGAAACGACTGAAACTTCAGGGAGCGATTATCCGAGCCTTTGGGGCCGAGTTCATGCCTGATTCTTTGGTAGGCGATTGGAGTAAAAGGTGGTGCCGATACTTTCCAACGAAGAGACAATTAATTCGGGGAATTAATTGGAGCGAAGTACAGAATGTCGCAAAGAAGTTCCCTCCCGCATTCAGGCACGCAATCTGGCGAACCCTGAGCGGGGCCTGGATCA